TATAATGCTAAATTGCTCAGTATTTTTGTAAAATTTTGGAAAATGGACATGGTATAGTAAAACTTCCTTAAGTGGCCCTCAATTTTCACAAAGTAACGAATAATGCAATAAGAATTTGCATTTCTTAGCTTGAGTATGCACAAATACATCAGCAAAATATTTCACCAGTATTCGATCTTTTTAAGTATATATAAATTTTTAGATGTATTATTTATGGACCTTATTGTTGCAAAATTATTGCGATCAAAGTTTTCATACGATTTTCGTGAAACTTTGTGAGTACTCAAAAAAACTAGTTTTCTAAAAGGTAGTAGGAAATTTTTTAACAATTTTTATTTTTTCGAACTTTTTTAAAATTTAAATTTTTTTTAAATAAATTTTGTTTAAATTTCTCGCTGTGATTTTTATCGCGTTAAGGTGTCAAAATGTTCCTTACAATATTATTTGCTAATGTGCACAAAAAAAATTTAGAGCAACCATATGGCTCTTGAGATAATAAATTTTTTAACATATGCCAACCACTATTTATGTACTATATGAATTTCCACGTTTATTCAAGAATTTTTCCCCTACTTGACCTTCAACTGACCAGAACCTAGCGTGATGGAGGCTAACGGACCTCTGATTCGCATTCACCGTGTCGAATAACATAGGTATATATAGGTTTGGTTTAATATGCATACACTTAATTTTTTTTTTGTTTGTAAACGTGTGATACTAGTACATAAATAGTGGTTTTCTCCATAAATAGTTATTATTTTCTAATCTGAATGCTTGTGATTCGAATCGAGGAATACATACAGCGACCAATAAAGAAACTAGAACTCGAGGTTTTACTAAGTTTTGGCTATTTTTCCTTAGTTTATTTAATGTTTATTTTATGAAAGTAAAGCTCTTTTAGTAAACACAAACCATATAATACCAAATTTCCAACGTTGTGCAAAAAACTATAAAAATTAATTCTACAATGTTTCACCAAAATTTAAAACTCTTTAAAGAATTTTTTTTAAACAAATTCTTGATGTTACTATAAGTATAGGGAAGGTTTTAGGGCTATATATCTAGGATCATTGAAGAAGGCTTTAAGATCTGTAAGCTGTTGCGGAAAAAACTTGCCAAATACTTTTTGTCCCGTATTCGGCTTTCATTGATATGGTCACCGTAATCATGG